CCATTTACCATTATCGATAGTGTATCCCATGAGAGTGGGACGTGTGAATTAGTTAGTCTTTGCTTAAAATGCAAGGGACAAGAGCTGCTGATTGGTTTGGTCTATCGCAGTCCAAGCTGTGAGGCAAATGAGATCCTGTTAAGCAGTCTCAATACTTGGTCCCAAAGTGGTCGATGTCTAATCCTAGGGGACTTTAGTGCACCTATGGTAGACTGGGAAAATCTGCGAACTAAATCGTCGGAGAATTCTTTCGAGCGGGAACTAGTTGATGGGGTTATCACATGTGCTCTAGTGCAACATGTGAAAGAAGCGACAAGGTACGATCCGGACACTGAATCATTCTTATTAGATCTTATACTGACTCACTATGAGGATGATGTTGCGAACCTCCACCATATGCCACCCTTAGGTAAAAGTGACCACGCAGTTTTAACTTTCGACTTCCATATAACTGCCAGTCATGAGGACGCGTCAGTCCAGTCCAGACCCAACGTCTGGAAGGCAAACATACCAGACATCATGCACTCAGCATCGTTAATAGATTGGACAATAGACCCAGAGTCCTCCATTGAAACGGCCTGGGACACATTTCGAAAATCATACTTAGAAGTTACCACACCTCACATCCCTTGGACTATACCAAAGGGGCCGAAAAACTCACCGCCATGGTTTAGTAGGGAGGTCCGTATCCTTCTCCGTAAGAAAAGGAAAACGTGGGATAGATTTAGGTTACTGGGGACTGATGAGTCAAAATCTCAGTATCGAAAGGCTCGGAACACTTGTGCCTCGACCCTCCGTAAGTCTAGAAAATTGTACGAAGAAAAACTTGTTAAGGAATCCACAGAATGTCCTAAACGCTTGTATTCCTATATAAACCAAAGGACGAGGAGAAAACGAAATATTCCTGCTCTATGGGGAGACAGTACTGCTTCATCATTAGTGGAGGACGACTTTGGTAAGGCTCAAGCGTTCTCGAACTACTTTAGCAACGTGTATACCATAGAAGCGCCCTTCTCGTCAGCGTATACAGATCCCCCCATACATACACTGGATAGTGTGACCATTAAAGAACTCGATGTCTTTGGTCTGCTAAATAAGCTTGACATAGGTAAATCCACGGGGCCCGATGAATTACATCCTAGGCTACTGAAGGAATTACCTAACTTCGTTGCGAACCCTTTAAGTACATGCTTTAACCTGTCCGTTACGCAGGGTCGCTTACCGAAAGATTGGAAAAACGCCATAGTAAGTCCTGTCTTCAAAACAGGTACAAAACACAAACCTGAGAACTACCGCCCCGTTAGCCTAACTAGTGTGGTTGTTAAAATATTAGAAAAGATTATTCGGAAGGAGCTGTTTAAGTATCTCGATAAAAACCGGATCCTCTCGGAGAAGCAGCATGGCTTCAGAATAGGTTATTCTTGTCTCACTAACTTATTAGTGGCTCGTGAAAGCTGGTGTGCTCTTAAGGACCAAAAGCTACCTGTAGACGTCGCCTTCATTGATTTCAGTAAAGCTTTTGATAAAGTTCCGCACAACCGGCTGTTATATAAGTTAAGAAATGTCGGGATTGGAGGTAATTTATTGATGTGGATAAAAGACTTCTTAGTTGGGCGTCAACAAAGAGTAAGGGTGAACTCCAAGTTGTCTAGCTGGGAAACTGTGCTTAGTGGAGTGCCCCAGGGTACAGTTTTGGGGCCAGTGCTATTCCTCTTGTATGTAAATGACCTTCCTCCTTTCCTATCATCATCGGTCTTGCTATATGCTGACGATGTCAAGATATGGAGAACGATACGATGTAAGAGTGATAGCTTAGAACTTCAAAATGACCTGAAGAAGTTATCTGAATGGTCTCAAACCTGGCAGTTGCCGATAAATACTTCCAAGTGTGTTGTGATGCATATCGGTCATCAAGGCACAGATACATACACGATGAATAACACTGAGCTACCTGTCGTCCAGACATATAATGACTTAGGAGTTATCGTTAGTCAAGACTTAAAGACTACTGCACACTGCCGTGCAATAGCCGCCAAAAGTTTTAGAACGTTATGGTCAATACGTAGGGCTTTTAGTCATGTCGACGTTAAGACGTTTTTGACTTTGTATACAGTGTTCGTTCGTCCTAAACTTGAGTACTGCATACAAGCGGCTAGCCCCTGCTTTAAAAAAGACAGTGAGCTTCTGGAGAAGGTTCAGAGAACGGCGACTAAGCTGGTTCCCGGAATAGCGAAGCTTCCGTATGAATCTCGACTGGCCAAGCTGAACCTTTTCCCGTTGTCATATCGCAGAACTAGAGGCGACTTGATTACAGTCTACAAATTGCTTAGTGATAAATTTGCACCTGATATGCCCTCATTTTTCTTGTCTTCCAAAACAGAGAATTTACGAGGACACTCCAAAAAAGTTCATAAGCCGAGAACAAATTACTTGTCAGCTGACTATCGACTTTCCCATCGAATCATCAACGAGTGAAATTCATTACCTCATCACGTGGTTGAGGCTCCATCCGTCGACTCTTTCAAAAGAAAGTTGGATCAACTGAGAGACCACCATTGCCAGGACTAACATAGGCCATCGAGCCTCCTGTCCTTCCCAAACTGGAACTGAAACTGCCGGGAGGTCGCAGTTAAGTGGTTTCGAACCCTCTGGGCCTTAAAAAGGCCTTCTGTCCTTACTACACAAATCTGAATCTGAATAGTATTCTAACCACAAGAGACCGATTATAATCGGTCCTCCATAAAGTTATTGCTTTTTGCACATAGCAACATTCCATGTAGGGACTAAATTTCAGCCACTGAAAAGTTTTTGAAGTTTCTAGCGGTTTGTGTTAATACGTCTAGTCTACGTAAGATTATACGTACCTAAGTTCTCGTATATTTACGAAGTCGTTTATTTTCTTTCCTCAATACAGAATGCTTACTTTTAACCAAAGTGAGCTGTAAATCACATATCTACCCTGTTACTTGTTGCCTTTGTCACCGTAATTGCTTTTTTCTGTGAAACCTTACTAGTAAATAATATCAAAGTTTCATTTTTTGTGTTGGGCAACCCAGGGTGTTACATCTTAAAATAAGAGTTGCCGTCGTTTGACGGAACTGATATATAGCACCAGGACAATTCAGTTAACTCGTATAGCTACAGCGTTTCCCACTCATACATTTTCCTATTATAACACTCATCATATCTGATAAGATGGAGACAACATTTCTTAAAGGATATCTAGAATTCCCCGAGACATTTCTCAAAGATATTTTGCTCTAAGACTTCGGTCGTCAACTGCAACGGTAAACGAAACACAAGTCAACACTTTTACTATCTATGACCCTTTAAATTTGTTTGTCCGGAAATCCATTTTAATTTCCTTGACCCCAGTCATCCAATGTTGCAGTTTATACTCAACTTGTGATTATTCACATGTACATTATATATGATTTTCCATCCCGTTAGTAAGGCAATTTTTCTACAAAACTCACTGTCTAGATGTCTTAGATTTGATATTAAAATGCTTCTAATGATCAGCAAACTTGCTAAATCAGTGATTCGAAATAGTAGTATCGTTGATTAGTAACTGTTCTCTGTGGTATCTATAAGAATCTTGTTTTTACATACATCAAGCTCTAGAATCTCATACCAACATTCAGAATTGGAGTTCGCGAACAAAATTCCTTAATTTTGATTTGAATTGTGCAAAATCTGGACTTTATAGAGGAATCCTCCAAATAATCGAAAATCTGTCGCTGGACACTTGGATGAATATTTGAAAATTTAGTCATGTTGTTCGGGATGCTAGATCCCCAAAAATCACTTGAAAACGTCTTATTTTTGTATTTTTATTATGGAATTTTTAATTCCTCGTTTTTACTTCAAATGCGCCTATTTTCACATTCAGATTGTATTTCCCAGTTGGAAGTACTCTAAATGTCATCGGTTCGTTTCCTCTTTTAATATGATACTTTGTGACATTTCTTAAGGACATTTTTATGCTGCATATATGCGATTACGTTGTGTGCTTGTTGTTGTTATTGTTTCTGGGTGCTTGTGTGATGCTCTTTCGTCTGAACTGGGTCTTCTCCCTCTGGTTGGCAGGGCTGGGACACATCGGGATAGTTTAGCTTGTTTTGTCGTTGTGTCGCTGATCCCTCATAATTTTTTCAAACAGCACATTGAGTAAGGTGTATTAGTGTTTTTATATAATGTAACTTAATGACCATATTATTCCTTACATCTTATTCCATGAATAGTGGTATGTCATGCTATTCCATCTTCACTCTTTTTGTCTCTTAATTATTTGTTACTATTGTAGTCATTGTTTTAGTGTAACTTTTCCATCGGATCACTCTTCACTGTACTGATTTTAAATGTGGAGACATGAAATGACAGTTGTTTCTCTCGAATCATACAATACGTACTTGTGTAGCAATTTGAAAAAATCTATGAATGTCCAAACCTTGTTGTCTCATCGTCCCATAAATTTACCAGCTGCTGACTACCTAGTTAATGTCTTCGCAATCATATTGACTTGTGGCTGGAGACGTTGGATGATATAGCTCAAATTTATTTGTGGTACCAGTGAGTTACTCAGTTTCTTTTCCCAGTCCCTATATTTTAATATTATTGCATACCCTTTTTCCTGTCTTTCGGAGTCACATTCTCGACTTTTGGTTCTTACCATCATTATTTCTGATGTAGTTCCAACTTCTTTCCCATCCATCAGACCAACTTCGTCCCATTATCTGGATAGAGTGTAAAATTTTAAAGCAATGAACATACGTCCATACGTTGTTTGTAACTGACTGATTGTTAAAGTGTTATTTGACATGACTCTATATTGCTGTATGCATAACTTTGTCTGTCTGAACTGCATAGTATATTTTATCGCCTAAAGATGTGTAATAGTGTGTTTGCACCATCTTTAAATGTTTGTCGTTGTATTACTTTTAATCCTATTACGTTTCCTAGGTCTTGATAAATACCACGTGGATTACTAGATCATATTCATGAATTCACCAAATTCTAACCATCATTGTTTACTTCGTCACGATCCTGTTACTGCACGTGCCATTTCACGTTTAAGTCATGGAGTTGCTCGTTTGACTGCAAGCCTTAATCCCGATAGACAGTATCGACATTTTCGTACCAGACACGCAAAATCCAGGAACAGAACTGAATCAGAATCTACATTGAACGACCGGTAAGCCTCTTTTTACTTTATGTTGTACAGTCAGTCGAAATGTCATGCCACTCATTTTATTACTTTTGAGGGACCCCTTTTTCCTTAAAATGTCAGACCTATCAGTCCATATATATATATATCGTTTATATACTTAATCAAAATATCAGATTTCGCACCATATATTTAGCGCTTATATTCTTCTAGCTACCAGACACATGTATCGGTTTCCAAGGTATAAGGCAGTATTAACTCTATAGCTTGTAACGAGATCTACATTATCGTACCAAATAACTGTTAGTGAAGCTATGTACGTCATGTTTTTTGACCGGCACCTACATTTTTCTCATTTCTCAGATGTCTTGATTGCTTTAGCACGAATCCACATGGTACAAGTCCATGAAGTCACTGAAAAGTGGACTGAGCTATGTTGGTAGGTGTAGCTACGTGGTTGGGGACCGCGAGATGATAGCAATCGATGGTTAGAGACCCTAAATGAAATGGCTCAAAATTGTTTGCAATGGCGCAGGTGCATCCACTCTTTGTGTTCTCCCAAATTCTAATCTTCTGAATTCTTCATGTCCCTTTTTTTTCCTCTTCCCAAATTTATTTCACTGGATTATACTCTTTGAATAACATCTTCAAACCCTAATCTTTACGATTACTGCTTATACTCTTACCACCTCTACCACTATGGGACTTGAATGGACAACTGCATCTCTGTGTTAGTGATATGGCAACTTGAACTGACGTACGTACGAAGTTCTACGTTGTTACTGACTGACTAACCACTATGTCGTTTACTGGTTGAAGTCGAAGATTGCAGGTTATTGATTTCCATTTTAGTTATACATTGGTGAAGTTCTCGTCATGGTATTTGGATTTTTTTTAAGCAACATAACGAAATGGAGTAGTGATCTTCACACATTCAAGTTCTATCTATCCAGACTAAACACTATTTGGTAATTTGGGAGCTTAATGGAAAAGATAAAAAGAGGTGAATTTATGACAATGTAGTTGTATTGGGTTTCCATGCACTGACAACTCCTGATTCCTTATATAGTCCTATAGATAATGTATCTCACTTCGAGATATGAATACAGATAAAAAGCAGTTAAGATTCTGTCACTATGCTTTTCATGCTATAAAAATTGTATTATTTCATAAGTCTACTAAGTCATTACTTGTTGCTTTGGGCCATCTCAGTAGATGTGGACTATCAGGTTAGAGACGTTGGATGCCGTGGCCTAACCCCAGCCTCAATGCCACACTTTCATTCGTTCTCTATCTTAAAACCTTGAGTTGATTATCGTGTCAAATCATTCTTTAATCTTTCCTTTTCTGATTTAGATATCTTACATTTTATTTCCCATTCCATCTAATATTACTAACCATATGATTTTGAGATGATGGAGAAGATTTGTAGCTCAGGTGGATGATTTTGATGGATTTTTGTTCTCAGAAATAGAAAGGATATTGTCATAGTACCAGCGGACAAAGGACGCACCACAGTAATTATGGACAAAGAAGAATACGTCAAAAAAGCCGAAAAACTACTTGAAGATAAGAGCACACACAAACTAATGGATACAAATTCCGCCAAAAAATTAGACAGCCGAATCTCAAAGACTTTAAACAAGCTGGTCAAAGCAGGAGAAATAACAAAAAAGACCAATGGACCAGTACTCCCTCGATTCTACGGCAGACCCAAAATATACAAACCAAACATTCCACTACGTCCAATTGTAGCACTCCCCGGAACGCCAACATACAATTTGTCAAAAGAAATTTCGCAAATACTGAAACATTTAGTAGATTCATTCAACCACTCCATCAAATCTCCCACACAATTCCTGGACCAAATTAAGGAAATTCGAATCAACAACGACAAACTGATGGTATCCTTCGATGTAACAGCGCTATTCACCTCAATTGAACCAAGGTTAGCAAAAGAAACTATATCCCTGCTCCTCGCCAACGACACAAATCTCACTAAGCACACGAGGCTTCAAACTCAAAGTCTACTAGAACTCATCGAATTATGCCTAACAACATATTTTCAATTCAACAACAAAATCTACGAACAAACGAAAGGGATACCAATATCAGGACTGATCGCAGAAGCAGTGATGCAAAAACTAGAAACCGCGATATTACCAGTGATCAAGACAAAAATTTGGATTCGCTATGTAGACGACACATTCGTCATCGTCAAAAAGAATGAACTGGAAAACACTTACAAACTGATCAACAACGTTTTCGATGACATCACGTTCACAATGGAACAGAAGTCAAACAACAAACTATCATTCTTGGATATATTGATCACTAGGACCGACACAGGAAAACTGGAAACTCAAGTGTATAGGAAACCGACCCATACGGATCAAATTCTCAACTACAATAGTAAAAACCCAAGAGCTCACAAAATCAACTGTGTACACACTTTGTCCAAGAGGGCGAGGACACACTGCAGCACACTGACAGCACGAAAAAATGAAGAGAAATACCTGAAGAACGTATTTCAAAAGAACGGCTACCCAATAAACTTCATCGAAAAATACCAACCGCGCGCAGCATCAGAACCCAAGTCAAGGACAGAAATCAACAAAAGGATCGCCCTACCATAAATAAAAGGCACATCAGAAATCGCAACGAGACTGCTGAAAACCTTCGGGATAGGTGTGGCACACAAACTGACAAAATCACTACAATCAATCCTATGCAAACCAAACGATGAAATAACAAGTGAAAACAAACCAAACATCATCTACAAAATAAATTGTGCCAACTGCGAAAAACACTACATCGGACAAAGCGGACGCCCCCTTCACCTTCGCCTACACGAACATCAATTAGCAGTCAAACGCCATGATATCTCCTCACTTATATCAATACACGTGGACAACTGTGGACAATCATTTGATTGGAAAAATGTGGAAATCTTAGACAGAGGAAATTCCAAAATCACCAGAGAATTTTTAGAAGCCTGGCACTCAGGTCAATCAGCAATCAACAAGCATATTGAAATCAACTCAATTTACCAACCAATCAGGAAAATCATGCACAAATATAGAAACGAAAATCTCTAACCAATGGGAGACACAGCCAAAACGAAGAAGTAAACAATGACAAATTTAAGGTGAATACGAACCAATCAACACCGAGGTGCACAGAACAAGCTGTTAAACACAAATGGAGAAATTCAAACACTTCACTTCTATTTGAAGCTTGTGCTGATGATGTCGTTCAGAAGAACGACGAAAGCTCCACGACCAAACCATCCAGCTCAGGGAACAAAAATCCATCAAAATATTACTAACCCTTCTCGTGTACATTTTGTCAATGTCCTCCATCCTGTATGCTGACTTGTGGTTCCTATAATTGAATGACTTATCTGACTGATTGTCGATATGCTTGAGCTATGCAGATAACCGTTATAAAACAATTTTTATGGGAAAATATTTATTTCCCTAATATCTCTTTATTTCCTGCCTATTTTCTTATATCTTAGCCAATCTATTACAACAGGTTCAAAACGTAAATGGCAACCGGATAAAATTGAACTGGATACAATCATGGAATTGGAACATTCCACAGCTGTTTGTTTGAAACCTATGCAATCACCACCATCGTCGTTATTATTATCATCGTCATCATCAAACATGGAATCATTACAGCATGTATCCGTATCGATAGATGCTTTAAATTTACAAACTAAACCAATTCCACCCTTTTCTTGTTCGAATTCTATATTGTATAAATCACTAAGCTCCGATCATATTGAAGCCGTGGGACGTTATTCTTCAGGATCGTCAATGCTTTCAGTCACTGGATCATCAGATAATTCTGAGAGTGATGCTTCGTCACATGATGCTGACATTGAAGATGCAGATCATGGCGACTTAATCTGTTTCAAAGGTGGTAGATCGTTGACAAGAATTAGTAGACGTAAATCATCTATTCTCGATAAACATTCTTATGAATTATGGAGACCAATGGATACTGTGTATCATGCTTCTGGGGGAGGCGGTGATTCATCGGACGGCCTGTCAATAAATATTAAAATTCCACGATTAACATCAATACACTTACATAATACAAGTGGATTATATTGTGAACATTCATCGTCTAGGTTATCACCGGTTATCTCATCTAGTTATCAACAAACTAAAAGAAATACTATCAGTGGTATGTTAGCCTCTTCATCATCTGATACGAATCATTGTCACCGTGGTCGTCGTAACAAGAAATGCAAGTGTAGACCGCGAAATAAGAGTGATACTACTGATGATAAACATGGAGAGTAAGTATATACATTTTTCTACTATTGTTGCCGAGTGTATAATATTCAATTGTGTTTATCTCTCACTTAAATATATATTTATTCAAAATTTAAAAGAATTTCATTCGCTTAGTTCCCTGCATTATTTTAAGGAGAGCAAGAACAGAGAATTAAGTAGAATGACATTAATTCATTTTATGTCGTTAGGTTCTCATCATTTGTTTATAACCTATAATATTTTAGAATCAAGATTATCGTAGTGTTTACATACTTCTCAAATTTGCCGAAGCCATAGCTATCAAACGCTTCAAGTTGGATTTATTTATCTAAAAGGAGACACTTGCGAATCCTTCTTTGCCATGGTGACCTTATCGTCAGCTCATTACGTCATTCATGCATTTTCTTTCTCCTACTTTGACTGTATCATTTCCTTTAAATTCATAGTTTTATTCTTAGCTAACTGATCTCAGCTCATATCATTCTTAATTGCGATTAATTTATGTCCAACTACTTCATTACGTAACCAATTAGTTATCTTAGCTATATGATCCCTTGTTACTATGTCTGATGATCCAGAATCTTCACTTAGGTATTACATTTATTTCCAACACTGTGTGTCTTCACTTTCATTACTCCACCATGATGATAAGTATCCAATTTTACTGTCCCAAATTCGTAAGCTTAACGGTAATTTAGATCTTAAAATATGACAGGTTGTAAACTGCTAATGAGAACCTAACCAAATAAAATGAATCCATGTTACTCTTCACATTTCTTTGCTTTTGCTCTCTGTCTCTCCCTTAGATAGTTTGACGTAGTCGATAAGAATCCAGGGTCTTAGACGTTTTATCTTAGTTGATACCCGTTGATGGGGCGCATTTGTAATGTCACTCTCGGGGTTCGAACCCACATCACGCAGTACCGCAAGTAACCTGTATGATATGGTAGTGTAAATGGTAAACATTCAACCAACAGGTCACAGATTCAAATCCTTGTCCAATTCCTTCGGTTCAGGCAACTGGAAAGCATCACAGGCAAATAAAAAGTATGCAATAACTCTTAGCCCCAAATGTAGTCGAATATGACAAATGGATACTACCGTGCCATTGTGGCTGATTTTGACTCGTCATCCAATGTATGCAGCCATAGTTTACGGATATTACGCAGGCTTTAACGGGAAATTTTATTTTATAGAGAACATATACTATTGAATAAATCAATTATTAATAAGTATTCACTAACACCGTCATTGAGTGTCCATAGATACCTACAATTCATGTATGGAACCTCGTAAAAAATTTATTGTTACTGAAAAAATGTTATCGTTGCTATTATTTATCATTTATTCCTCTATTAGACATATCTGTCATAAAAGTTGTATCAAAAATGGCTCACATTCTTCGTCTAGTTCATCATTGTCAACTGAAGAATCATCCGATGAGAAACGTTCGAAAGGTATATTCAAATATATTTGATCAAATTAATTTCTACAGCCTTATTTACCCAGTTAATCTTCTGTACATTTTGATATTATTTAACTATTTAATATGCGTAAACGGTTTAACATCGAGGATACTGTGCACTACTAGTTTAACAGTGTGTTATTCCACTTGGAAATAATACACAGTAAGACTGGATTGGCAAAATGATAAAAATGTTATCATTATGAGTTTGTAAAGATTGTTGAGTTTATTTGAGATCACGAATCGATCGAAGTTAGACAACCATTGGAAACCTGGAAATATTGGAATGGCTTTCTCCCTAGTATGGGAATCCCCGGCAGTTTTCAATATCGCGGATTGATTGAAATTAGATTTGTACATTATTGGGTTCTGGATTGGCGATTTAGAGGCTAAGCGTTCGCGCGTGAGACGGGCCCTGGGTTCGAGTCTCACGTGCAGGATCGTGGATGTTCACTGATACGAAACGGCCGTCCAGTGCTTCCAGATTTTCACTGGTGGTCTAACATTTATCGGTTCATGATTTTATTGAAATGCCACTATCACCATAACCCCAAACTGAACATATATCCTTATTGTATGGTTATTAAGCAGCTACATTACTGTGTCTATGTATTCTGTTTATCATAAGTTTTCTGTTGACGCATTAGCTAGTCATACGACTTACTATTCCTAATTTGTTACCACTCCATTATTCACCTTTTCTTTCATTTAGAGCCACTTTTGGCTTGTTCAGGTATAATTGTTACTTTTCATTTCGTGATGTGATACGTTCCTGCATGTCTGTATATAAACCATTTCTGTTGAGAAATAATTATAGTGGAAGCTGCTTGTTGACCCAAGGCAGGGCATAGAGAGCAGCTTGTGATGAGTTTATTAGAACTTAGCTGTTGGCTCAAGATTAATAGTTCTTGTCGGGAGTGTGATTGGCGAGTTTGGATACACTAGACTATCGAGGAAAAACGAGACGCGAAATGGACCAAATTAAAATTGGGATTTTGATTGTTGACTTGGCACGTGATATTGGTCGACCGTTCTAAGGTTATATGAGGGGGACTACTATTATTATTATTATTATTATTATTATTATTATTATTATTATTATTATTATTATTATTATTATTATTATTATTATTATTATTATTATTATTATTATTATTATTATTATTATTATTATTATTATTATTATTATTATTATTATTATTATTATTATTATTATTATTATTATTATTATTATTATTATTATTATTATTATTATTATTATTATTATTATTATTATTATTATTATTATTATTATTATTATTATTATTATTATTATTATTATTATTATTATTATTATTATTATTATTATTATTATTATTATTATTATTATTATTATTATTATTATTATTATTATTATTATTATTATTATTATTATTATTATTATTATTATTATTATTATTATTATTATTATTATTATTATTATTATTATTATTATTATTATTATTATTATTATTATTATTATTATTATTATTATTATTATTATTATTATTATTATTATTATTATTATTATTATTATTATTATTATTATTATTATTATTATTATTATTAGTATTAGTAGTAGTATTAGTAGTAGTATTAGTAGTAGTATTAGTAGTAGTATTAGTAGTAGTATTAGTAGTAGTATTAGTAGTAGTATTAGTAGTAGTATTAGTAGTAGTATTAGTAGTAGTATTAGTATTAGTATTAGTAGTAGTATTAGTATTAGTATTAGTATTAGTATTAGTATTAGTATTAGTATTAGTATTAGTATTAGTATTAGTATTAGTATTAGTATTAGTATTAGTATTAGTATTAGTATTAGTATTAGTATTAGTATTAGTATTAGTATTAGTATTAGTATTAGTATTAGTATTAGTATTAGTATTAGTATTAGTATTAGTATTAGTATTAGTATTAGTATTAGTATTAGTATTAGTATTAGTATTAGTATTAGTATTAGTATTAGTATTAGTATTAGTATTAGTATTAGTATTAGTATTAGTATTAGTATTAGTATTAGTATTAGTATTAGTATTAGTATTAGTATTAGTATTAGTATTAGTATTAGTATTAGTATTAGTATTATTAGTATTATTATTATTATTATTATTATTATTATTATTATTATTATTATTATTATTAAAGTAGTTGTATTATTCAGTAATCAAAACAATCTTAAAAGACCTATGTTGTTTAATTTGGCTACATTTAACAGTATATTATACTGATCAAATTCTGAAATGATCTTTTTTCCCTATGTAAATACCGTTTATGGTGTTTAACATGACTCTTTAAACTGAATTATGCCATTTTTGCGTTAAAATGTATAATATTGACGTCCAACTCTCGCTGGATGAACTCTAACAATTATAATGATAATAAAATGTTTCCATAATTATATTAGGTCTGAACAATATGCGAGATACATAAGATGATCCCTGTAACTCTTTTACCACTTGGTTATGTTAAAATAAGTTAGTCGCACGATACGGAATTTATTACAACTGCAAGTCAGAATACTTACTTAAAATTCGTATCAATAGTACAGAATCTCAAGATATGTTCTCTATTAAATATTTCCTCACCATCTGTTGACACTTGTGATATAACAAAGGACAACGAACTGAGCTAATTTTAACAAGACCAATTAAAATAGGTAGATGAATAACTAGTATATGAATCTTTAATGTAATCAAACAAATCAATAACACTGACCCTGGCAGCCACATTGACAGATGCTATCAACTGTATTATAGCATAAAATTTAGTGGTTATGTGCTATAATAGTTTTCTTTCATCTTGTGCTTAAATAGTACTATATTGCATATCTGTTAGTGCACGTGATTTGAAGCACAAGCTAGTGGCTATCAGGACTCAGTAGCTAAGTGGATAACGCGATGGCGTTTGAAGCGAACGCTATTGGGCTCGAGTCCCGGTGTAAACATCAACAATAAAATGCAGGTACATCCTTTTGACGAGTCCTAAATAGGATGAAACGCGCATCATGGATTCCACTGCTAGTCACCATTCATCTTTGCTTACAAGTCTATTTAGCTTATCTTGAAATAAATTCAACTGTAATTCGTTATTTATTGTCCAACTATACCTTAATGTTGACTTAACGTAACTAAATATTTCTCTGTGTTTATCATACACAAAAGTGTTTATTTTATGTATTCCAAGATTATCTGTTTTTAAATACAAGAATCATTTCACATCTGATTAATCTTTGAAAACTAGGTATTAGTGAATGATTGTTTCATTCTATATATTCTTTTCAACTCCACCATTATGAATCAACAATGATCCAGTTTGAATTAGCGTTTCCTCAGACTTCCCAGTCTATATCTAGTGGTTAATTATTTATAGTTGTAATGTTATTTTTCATATTTCAAAGGTTTCATTGCATACAAACATCGATTCACCTCTATACCGGAACATCAGAACACTTGTGATACTGATATGATGAATGTGACTTGTCGTAATAAGAAAACTATTCAAAAAATCATCAAATCACCATCTACCATAACAGATAACAATCGTTGTAAAACAGTTGTTGATCCGTTCAATTCAAAATATCAGTTAGATGATTCAACTAATTCAACTCTAGATGAACCAGTTGATCCGGAACTGGTTAATCTTTTACATGTAAGATCAGGTATTTTATCTCTCCATTCTTTTTTCTTTAAATGTTTTTCCACATGGAAGTACTGAGACGGATAGAAAATAATCAATGCAAGTTGTAAAGATTAGTAGCGAGAGATTGGTTGCATATTAGACTGAAACATCTTTTCAGTTCTCGTTAGTTTCTGATAGTTTTCCAGACGATACTAATTTGTGATGTAGTTTTCATGTATATTATTATTGGCTTTTAAAATCTATAACAAAGTAACTTTGTATGAATATGGAGGATTTACTTGGAGTGGGACAACCGAGATTCCCAATCAATGATCTACATGTGTTATGGGATCCTGAAGGAAAAAAATAGAATATGAACCTATTTTTGTTCACTGGCTACTATGAAACTACATCTGCTAACGTTACTCCACTATCTCGTAGATTAGACCTGTAAATCAAAGGCTTGGAGAGTGACTTCCTCTCCGTGTTCACCAACCCGATTAAAGCGCCTGTCATTCGCTTTTCATCCTCTTAATTTCATAGACAACACCCGCACCGAGAGAAAGCAGTGAGTATGACTTCCCTGGCAGTGGTTGTATGCACGTGGTCATGTGAGAGCATTTCGAGAGTTAGAGTTGACTCTCCTCACTCTTGAAGGAATATTATTCCTTAGCTTAACAATCATCTCTTTAATTTATCTATATTTATATAAATTATGATTGTGTTCATTTATTTGATTATGTTTTGTTTTCCTTCTTTATAATATTAATAAGGGAACTTGGCCATTATTAAGTAACAGAGCAAAATTAAATTATACAAAAGCAATGAATTTATCTAATTCAAAACGATATCCTAATTTAAAAAAACGCAATACACCTAATAATCATAAAATGAAAGAGGATTCAAAATCTATTCAACAAAATTCAATTAAATTTCTTCCATCTAAATTTAATCAATTTTATATACAAAATGATTCAATATGTAAGGTAGATTTTGATTTACAATAATTATGTTTGTTTGTTATTTTATTATTATTACTATACTTTTTGTTATGAGACCCGAACGTTGTTGCTACCTTAATGTGGTGGCTAGGCTTGCCCATCGTGATGAACCAATCCAGCTATACTAGCTGGAACAATCGTTCCTCAATATCCTACCATGCCAGACAGGTCGGTCGAAAAGCGGTAAGACTAAAAGCAGCGGACCCAAGGTCCGAGAGAGAAGTCGTACTGCTGACTGTACAGAGGTGTGACAGCAGTATGGTGTTTCCTTCAGACAACCGGTATAACAGTGACCCTGCCTTCCACAAGGAATGGTGGGGTTAGAAAAGGTCGACCCTAAAAATGCACACCTCGCCTTATCCCACAGATATCCGTCTCTGGCGGTAAGATTTCAATAAGTACGGAGCTAACACAAAAATTACTCACAAAATGGTTGTGTGACCGACCGCAAGCGGTTGTCCCTTGAGCACTGCGGTCACGCTCTCCGGTCACTAAAACCACCTCTAATCCAATTTCTTCTTCAGGTACCTCCAGAAGAACCCTTCCACGGTGTGGGCAACCGAGAAGTGATAACCGCCTTCATACCTATAACAGCACTCAAGACCATTGTACTCATAACCAACCTCCGTCTTTTGACTGACTGACTTTTGTTATGAGAGTGTTAGAGAGAGAGATAAAGGGAAAAATGATAAAATCTGAAAATTTCTAGATTATTAATCGAATTATCAAAAAGTGGTAAAAATCAAAGTAATAACCCATTAAAATTTATAAACTACTTAATCAAGTCTGTTACCCCCAATAGAACATAGGCCGCCGACCAGCATTCTCCAACTCACTCTATCCTGGGCCCTCTTTTCTAATTTCATCCAATTCTTGTTCATTTTTCTCATGTCTATCTGTCTCCTTTTCTCGGCGTAATATGTTCTTTGGTCTTCCTCTTTTCCTTTGGTCTTGAGGATTCCATCTGAGGGCTTGTCTTGTAACGCAGTTGGATGTTTTCCTCAATATGTGTCCTATCCACTTCCAGCGCTTCTTCCTGATTTCTTCCTCCGCTGGAATCTGGTTTGTTCTCTCCAACAGTACGTTGTTGTTAATAGTGTTAGGCCAACGAATCCGAAGTATTTTGCGTAGACAACTGTTAATAAACACTTGTATCTTCTGGATGATGGCTTTCGTAGTTCTCCAGGTTTCCGCCCCATACAGTAGAACTGTCTTGACATTTGTATTGAAAATCCTGACTTTGGTGTTGATTGACAGTTGTTTTAATTCCCAGATGTTCTTCAATCGTGAATATTTCTTCGATAATGTTGATTTCGGTAAATTGAATGGTTTTTAATCTATTTCAGTTGATTGGTCAATAATTTTTGACTAATATTATGTTTATTTTTCCTTTAGTGCTGATCGATTTTCATTGATGAAGTTAAAATATGGGCCATATGTTGAATTAACTGAATATAGCTCGTACTTTGTTGAGATGTTAAGTGGCTGAAAGTACTCAGTTACTTCGATTAATGGAATCCGATAAATATCAACCTGACATTGGCCATTACTCAGTGATTGTTCAGTTGTAAATATCTCTGTTCTACAGGAGGTCAGTCGTGATCTGAATAGTTCTATGATAACATAACAGATTGTGATGCTAGGTGACTTGGGTTCTCATCCCTTGGAGCACATTGGTCTTCTCAACATTGCGAGTACACGTAGCTGACGAGTACCAACTAGCACGAAACGCCGTTTAATCAGCTTTTTCAAACCTTAACTACTATTAGTCCACAAGTTACATCCACCCCAGTGTCTAACCAGATAATAAATTTAGCAAGTACATCTCTTCTCTGTTTTATTCTATTTCATTGGATAATTCAGTTCATACTATCCATATTAATTTCTTAATCACACACCATCATAAATGATAAAATGCACTATATGCATGACTACACCATAAGTTAAAGAGAAACTTAATAATGCATCCGTAATTGATTAACGGTGAATTGAGAAAAGTAAAGTGTACAATTAATACCTTATATGCCATCCCAAAGATTTCTATTAGAGTTATACAATAAACATTTTGACAATAATTCTTCACAGGATAGATCCACAAGTTATAGCTTTCTCGATATTTGTCTCGTTGTAATAGTTTCCTATTATATCAGATAACAGTCAGTCAGCTACAACGTAGGACCAGGCACATATATGCATCGGTCCTAGTTGCCATACCACATTAACACAAGATGGACACCGGATTCATAAAAGTAGTTAATTCAGAGGTGGTAATATTTAAAGAAAGATTGCAATAAGGATATAGTACAGGAAGAAAAAATTGGTTCGTAGAAAGAGAGATATGAAGTGATTTTAATCTCTTAGTTTAAGGGAAGACAGAGAGTGTATACACCGACGCCATTGTGACCGATTCTGAGCCATGTCACCAAGAGTCTCCAACCATTGGTTACGATTGTCACGCGGACCTCAACCAAGTAGTCTGCATCTACCAACATGGTTCAGACTAGAAGTTATTGACTTCTTATTTCCCTGTTCACAACACAAATATAGTTCTCTTTGTGATATTTTTTTCAGACTGATAAATCTAATCGTCAAATGCCTACACCTCCATGGATGATTAGTGACAATGAGTCATTACGGGATTCTGATGAATTTGACTCTGATCATAATAAAAAAGTACACAATCCCTGTGTGAACAATCAACGTCCATGTATTGACAATTGGAAAGCAGAAGTGTCCAATGCTAAACCATTAAACGAGGTAAATTTCACTTTTATTTTCTTTCTGTTAAATTTCGGAAATTCAAAACTTGCAAATAGTGATCAGTTTCGTGCTCAAAAGAATCTTAAACAAACAGTTCCCAACTGCTTCTTAGTCTCTAAACTTCTTTCATTATTGAATTTTAAAATAAGAAAAAAAAGACGCAGATAGCCATTTAGGACAGTGTTTGTATATTCGCTTACCAAATGCATACTTTGTACACTAATTGTCCACTTAGTCAATCACAATGTATAACCTTGTATGTATGTACATCAGTTCAAGTTATCATACCCCATTAGCACACAGAGATGAAATTGTCAGACCAAACCCACAATAATAGAGGTAGTTACAATATCAATGGTAGTAGAAAAGATTAAGCATAGAAGATGTGATTGGAGAAGAAAATATAAATTAGTGGGATAATAACACAAACAAGACTATGAGGAAATTAGAATTTGGGGTAAGACAGTTAATGGATGGATCCATATCATTACAAACAAACTTGAGTTATGTCACTTAAAGTCCCTAACCACTGGTTATGGTAATCACATTGACAGTAACCATGTAGTCCACACCTGTTAACATGACTCAGTCAAAATGTTAATGACTTCTTGAACTGATGCCACGTTTTGGTTTGACCGCCCTTACATTTCTTCAACCGACTCCCACACCAGACAATATCGTCCGTCCAGGTAGCCATTGTATTCCGATATTAGCAAGCCTAGTATTTGTAGTCACTATTTGTTAAGAAGTGTACCAGCGATTGATCTCTACCGCTATGCGCACTGCGGATTAGTCCCATGGTATGACAAAAATATCATCCAGTAGTGCTTTTTAGTTCTCTATGCTTGTCTAGCTAATGACAATCTGTTTATACAAAGAAAAAACTGAACAATCCCAACCAATCTCCCAATATTAATAAACATTTGATCGATTAAAGATTACAGTAGCGTTGTAAACGTAAATGCTTTTTGAGACCTGTTTATTCTTTCTCTACCTTTAAAATAGTATTGCATAACAATGTATTTTGCATTACGTTTGTTTTGTTTTGTAGACCAATAAAGGTCATCGTTTATTGCAAAAACTTGGTTGGAAACCTGGTGATAAATTAGGGCAAAATGATAAAGGTCTAATCACACCAGTCAACTGTAAAGAAGATAGTCATTCCTTTGCGATATGATTGAGACATCCCCTTTTTAAGTAATTTTTTGTAATTACTAATCTGTTTTTCACGCTGCAAAGTGCTTGTATATAAATAGTATGTAATTCTAATGTTACAATCAGATATAGTGCTTTCTTTTGTTGGAAATAACATCAAAGGACTAAATTTTAATCATTACATTTTACATATTCAAATGTGTCCTTCAATTGATATCTACTTACGTACTTACCTACGCCTGTTACTCCCAGTGGAGCATAGGTCGCCGACCGGCATTCTCCGACCCACTCTGTTCTGGGAATTGATTTTTACTTTCATGTACATACTGTTGTTAATGTCTTTTTCCATGAATCAATCAAAATAGTCTGTGATTCTTTTTTTGTCTTTTTTCACTGTTGAATTTTTGTTCCTAATCGGTGTTCTTTCTTCTTTCAATCTTATTCAGTTGAATAAATTGTTTGTTTAATAAATTACTTCTGATGATGTTGTGCATCGACCCCCACTTGATATAGGAATTTCCTTTAGAACGACTATGAAAAAAAATCCTGATCAAACCATTTACCTCACGGAATATAACATTATTTATTTATTTGAACACATAAATATTGATACAAGGGGGCACCAAATATATATGCGCTACACAAAACAATGAGAACGGGAAGAGAGAAAAAAGAAGGTAAGGAGTGTAAAAGAAAAAAAGGAACAGTAACCACCAGATTAGTGTAACGTAGTGTAATAATAATAATAATGGCGGAGACGGAAAGATACAATCGGAAGAAATCTTTCAGTTAAGGAAGATACAACAATTTCTTTATGAAGAAAGTAAAAGAAGCTTACAGCAGGATTGCCACTGGCTTCTATTCTGAGCCATATCTGATAACGTCTCTAGCCATTGTGTTGCACCATCTCTTGGACCCCAGCCAGGGAGTCGTGAAGGACCAACACAAGCCAGTCCTTTGCAGCTTTCTTTCATACCACGACACCATGTCATACACTGACCACCTCTCCGCTTTCTCCAACCAGTCCCAGAGTCGGCAAATAATTCACGACGTGGAATTCTCTGGGACGACATTCGTAGAACATGTCCAAGCCACCGATGTCGGTGTTTCAAGATGGTGACACCAATTGGATTGTCGTCCCTGTGTCGTACACACGATGCCGAACCTCTGCATTACTGACATGGTGTTGCCACTGAATGTCAGCAATCCTTCGGAGACAGCGATGATCGAACACAGAGAGTCGTCTAACGTCCTCAACTCGGAGAGGCCAGGTTTCACAAGCATAGAGCAAAACTGCTCTCACCGACGCGTTGTAGATCCGGCCTTTTACAGCCAGACTAACATCACGAAGGCGCCAAAGGTGGCCTAGATTGGCATAATCCGCTCTGGCTTTCACTATGCGTGCATTGATCTCATCACTCACACCCCCACCAGCACTTATGCAGCTACCCAGATACACGAACTTCTCAACTACGTCTATCTGCTCACCATCCATAGTGAGTACAGGGTTAGCATCCTGCCGTTCTTGTAGAAGTACTTTGCACTTCGAAGGTGCAAAGTAGATACCATACCTACGGACACTGATTGCCAACTGATTAAGTGCGGATTGCATCGCTCGGGTGTTATCTCGCAGTAAGATAATATCATCCGCATACTCAAGGTCGAGAAGTCTTTCTCCAGGCAACAAAACCACATTCCAGAAAACAATCCTGTCCAACGAATTGAAGGAAGCCCTGATGTCAAGAAACACTACACAAATTAAATGGAAATGACAATATTTACTGAATATAACACTGATAAAAGTTGTCTATCAGTATGGGGTTGTGAAGATTATCATTTCTTGATTGAGATCATGAGTCGATTCGTGCCAGACCACCATTAAAAACCTGGCAACACCAAACGACCGTTTCGTCCCCACAACTCCATAGTTTTCATGTGCTCACTAGTGACTAGCTTCGTGAGGGAATTCTCGAAGGGAGAAGCTGTGACCAGTGGAGCTAGTCCATGTCTGGTAGAGACAGGTATCTAGCTCATTACAATGAAAGATGGTCGCACAATTTCGTGTATTGGTTGAGTTTAGACATTAACACCGTTGGATGCCGGCTCAGTGGTCTAGAATTTAAGTGTTCACGTGCGAAACCGATAGGTTTTGGGTCCGAAGGAAAGAACGGAAACGGAAGGTAATTGATATTTGCGAAAGGAACAGTCAAGTTTGATAGTTTGCAAATTATCTATTTACGGTATGGTTCTCAGATTTTAGCAAGACGTTCTGTAATTTTGTGTACAGATACATTCGGTTGACCCCACTTATGTTCTTGTTCCTTACACATCTACACCCTTTGCTTCGTACTGTTTATCAAGCAGGTTGGTCAGTAGTAAGGATACTGTGAAGAAAAATCAAAATATCTCTGCATAGAAATGGAATCCAAGTCTTAAATGGATAAATGACAGGTTCTTGATAGTCTTGAAAAGGTTAAAACCTCATAATTGATTGATCACTTGGTGGTGATCAATGTCATGTGTGTCAAGTCCTTATTTAGTGCAGATCGAATGCTATCGACCTCCCTAACAAATAATTAAGGTGTAGTTTTTAAAACAATCTTTATCATCCTGTACACAACCAATCAGAATAGCAAAGTTCTAAATTTTCCACTCTTCCCCCAAGGTATTTTTGAAACAATTTGCAATGTGATCACATAGACACACACACACACACTTCGTATATTGGTGAATCTATCGATTACAATATCTGTGATGATGGGGATCAAGGTCATGATTTCATTATGCTGCATTGATTGGACCACTAAAATATATATAAATGGTGTGCAGTAACTATCGATGAAATATGATACAATTATATCTATATCCTTCCTTATTCTAATAACAACATATAATGATGTCTATTGAAATTACTCAACTCATTTTACAGAGAATATTATCCTATTTTATTCTATTGAATATAGTTTACATTACCATTATACATAGTAATCATAATAATAATAATTATTATTCACCTAATATGTTATGTCCAAGTGGTTATTGGCCAGCTAAAGTAAATTTAACTGGTGGTCATTATAAAACTGATCGAACATTTGAATTACTTTATCATTCTAATGCTAAATTACCTATATGTCAATTTTGTCCAAATGTTGGCTGTTTTATTGTACGTTTATCAACAATAGAAACAAAGAAAAGTTCATCAATCAATAGTGTCAAAATAACACAATCATCATTGATACCTACCACTACTACTACTACTACTAGCAGTAGTAGTACTATTTCGACCATTCAATCAACTATAAATGAAACAGATTCAAGTTCTATGAATAATAATAATAATATAAATGGAACAAATGATTTCAATGAAACTATGGAACAAACTATTCATGATGCTTTATATATGTCATGTGATCATTGGAATAATTTACCATCACCAACCGATATAATTAGTTATTTAGATTGTGTTATGATTGGTAATAATGATCAATTTTATTTATTTATATATGAACCAAGATTTCAAGAATATTCATTACCACCAGTGGATTGTGTAGATGCAGATTTTTTAACATGGATTAAAAATGATAGTGAATTATTAGGTTTAGAATTAGGATTTCGTATGAAAACTATACCACCATTTTTATTTCGTTATTATCAACGTATAATGCAAGTAAGTTAATATTATATACTTAAGTATAAATAATATATATTAGAAAATATATTGTTGAACAATTTCTCCACCTTTAAATGAAAGTTGTTGATTCAGGACTGGTCTGCATCAACACCTGAACTAAGGGTAGGGAGTGAAGTAGTCGAACGTGTTGACAACTTCACTTATCTTGGAAGTCAGATCAACCTTAATGGGTTGGTGTCTGACGAAATCTCAGCACGGAGTCGAAAAGCTCGTTTGGCTTTTGCCAACTTACATCACCTGTGGCAAAGGCGAGATATCCGTCTATCAATTAAAGGAAGAATATACTGTGTGACAGTTCGTTCTGTTCTAATTTAAGGCAGTGAAACATGGCCATCAAGTGTAGAAGATACTTGTAAGCTACTAGTATTTGACCACAGATGACTTAGAAATATTGCTGGCATCTGCTGGGATCATCGAGTAAGTAATAGTGAGTTTAGACTTGTAGGGTATTAGGGAACGATGGTGAATCAGTTGATGAGGTCGTGAATCTTCATCGACTGAGATAGTTGGGCCACGTGTTACGTATGCCCAAACACCAATTACCACGTCGTGCAATGCTAACCGGTGCGAGTGATGGTTGGAAGAATGTTAGTTGCGGCCAAACCAAAACGTGGCATCAGTGCTTGAAGTCACTAACTTGTAGTTTGAACCATGTTGGTAGATGCAGACTACTTGGTTGAGGTCCGCGTGACTTTCGTGACCAATGGTTAGAGACTCTTGGTGACATGGCTCAGAATCGATCACAATGGCGTCGGTGTAGACACTCTCTGTCTTCCCTTAAACTACGAGACCAAAACTGCTTCATATCTTTCCTTCTATGAACTAATTCTTTCTTCCTGTACTATATCCTTATTGCAATCTTTCTTTTATATATTACCACCTCTGAATTAACTACTTTTATGAATCCGGTGTTCATCTTGTTGTGTTAATGTGGTATGGCAACTTAGTCCGATGCATATATGTGCCTGGTCCTACGTTGTAGATGACTGACTGACTATCTTCTCAGGTACGCCCTAGTGTCGAAGAAACTTCCATTGTGTATTCCCGTCCACGCTATTAAATGCTTTTTCGTAGTCAATGAAGTTGATGTAGAGTGGTGAGTTCCATTCAATCGATTGTTCCATAATGATCCGTAGTGTTGCGACTTGGTCTGCACACGATCGCTCCCTACGGTATCTTGCCTGTTGGTCTGGAAGTTGGGCGTCTACACAGTCCTGCATCCTGTTTAACAATACGCTATTGAAAATAACTTGACTATTAAGACAAATTTCAGATAAAAGTGAACTATGAGAAGTTTTCTACGAGTAATCACTTGTTCTTTCTACTTTGAATTTGATTGATTGTTGTCAACATTTACCTCTATTATTATAATCATATTTATATTGTCCATACTATTTTTTTTAAAAAAATTTATTTCAGTTAACACAATACATATGTATTGATGGAAGAAGTTTAATAAATAATTCTATACCATTTGAAGATACTGAACGTTTTGCTAGTAATAAATTAACACAAGTTGTATTTCGTTCATTAACTGGATTAAAAAGAGAACGTTTACCACCAAAACCAATTGATATACATCATATAACAGAATTTCAAAGTGATGAAGAAGTTCAATCATGTCCATTTATTGTTCAACATAAATCAGCTAATATTACATCAAATATTGATTGTCAATTTTCACCAGGTGTAAGTTAGTTACATTCATTATCATAGATCGTGGATGCGCACTGCTGAGGAGTCCCGCAATAGGACGAAACGGCCATCCAGTGCTTCCAGGTTTTCAATTGTGATGGTCTAACATCAATCGGTTCATGATCTCAATCAAATACTTTCACTATCATTGGACTATTAGTAATCCATACATTTGTGTTGATGATTTGAATTTTCCAAAATGGTGTTAAGGATTGCAATTGATCATAATCACTTCTTTTGAAACATCAACTAACGAACCTTAAATAAAATGAAATGTGCATCATGGATTCCACGGCTAGCCACCATCCATCTCTGTTTATAATGCAAATAAATAGATTGTTTTCTAGAGTATTCTGTTCCTTGAGCTGGATCGTTGAATTGTCAAGCTTTCACTGTCTTTCTTTGCAATATCATTAGCTCACTTTTTTTTCAAAAGAAGTGAGTTACTAAAATTTCTCCACAATTGACTAGCTCTGCTCAAAGCACAAAACATCTTTTAAATTCTTATCCTGAGCTACAAATATTTTTCATTGCAAAATAGTTTGTTGAATTTAATGGAATGATAATAGTTATGATTTAAACATCTCAGTAGGATAAAGTACTAACTAACTGTGACAATGGGAGACATGAATGTTATTGTAGACATCAATTCCTTTCCATTTGACTTCAATAGATGATATTCCGTTTACTGAGTGTTTAATCAGGCCAATTCTCCTGTCAATATTTTTAGTTTAGTCGAGAATATTCACAAGCCAGAATACCAATTGATGAGATAGTGTATTGTTACTAATTAATGAAATTTGTAAGCACATTGAGAACAGATAATGTGAGAGGTAACTAATCCTACCTTACCTAAGAACAAATCAGGTCGTAATTACACATTTGTTGATGAACTTTTATTTCTCGATCGTTTTACAAAGTGAACACAATTATTTATTCATAATTAATAACTGTAGCTAGTGAATGATTTACTTCTCGTCTAAATTCAAGTTATGCTAATTGTCGAATTTATGAGTCGATCTAAGCTAGACTATCATTGGAAACCTAGAAGCACTGGACGTCCGTCTTGTCATAGTATGATACTCCTCAGTAGTGCGCATCCACTACTCGAACCCAGAACCTTCGGTCTCGCGCGCGAACGCTAAACCTGTAGACAACTTAACCAGCATTCAATGGTGTTAATGTCTAACTTTAATCGACCCAAGTTATGTTAAACAATTTCAAATAACAGTTATTTGACTTTTTTTAATCAATCAAAGAGCATCATAATACCATACTGTTTTATTAATAAAGGATTGACTTTTCATTTACCCTAAATATCCAATCACAAACTCAGTGAACTCCAATGTCATGCCACTTTCACTAACGCATAAATCTCAAGTTGATAGACAGAGATCGATACCGAGCAATACAAATCGGTGGTCTATCAGCGTGAGCATCTCAACGCTACAGAAATGAACAGTTAGTCGAACAGTTCAGCTGTTAAGTATCTAATCTTAATACTAGGTGATATCGGTTAGAATCTGCCAAAATACATCATTTTCTATACGACAGCAAATAAGCTTTGCTGACGAGTCCCACTTACTCCGAAACCTATGTCAACGTTAGTCGGCTTTAACTTAATAATATCAAATTTATTGAAGCATCTAGATAACAACTCACAGGTGATTGATGTGAGTACGACAATGGTGTTTTTCCTTTTGACTTAAATTATTATTACTGTGGTTACATTTGCATTCATAACACATTGAACGTCCTTTATTTTCAAAACTAGGGTTTACCAACTACATCAGATAAAGTTAGCTCACATCAAGCATTAGAACGTTGCCCATTTCGTCGATTAACGATAAATACATTACAGACAAGACGAAGAAAGACCAATAATCCAATGGAAGAAGAAATATATTTACCACCTTCTGTATTATCAGCTTGTTTATTAATTGTTGTACTATTATTAACCATTGGTATAATTATTGCATTCTGTATAATTAATCATGAAAAATTAATGTTATGTAAATCACGTAGTAGGAAACGGCGTGAACGAGAAGCTGCACTTGCACAAGAGATGGATGAAAAAGCTGCTAAAGAAGCTGCAGCTGCCGCTGCTGCAGCAGAAGCTGAACAACAACAACAACAAACATCAACAATACGACATCCTATTTATGCTAGATATGGTATGATACCACCGAATATGGGTGGTGCATTCGGTGCATTTGCTCCAGCATATCAAACAATGACAGTTAATATGAATATGCCTAGTAATGCAGTAAGACAAAATCATGGATTCAATGGACCAATGTGAAAATACACAGGATTAATGATAATTTTCTTTATAAATATTCATTGAACTTTATTATTTATGGACGGAAAAAAAAGGAATCAACAAACACTTTCTAATCAATAATCACTTAGATCTCTAATGTTTTACACAGATATTGATATTAAAACTATTTAGCAGTGTAAACTCATTTATTGTAAAACATAAAATACTTGAAATGTACTCGAAATGATTTAGTTTTTTGTATGCATTCATTAGTCAATGAATCGAATTTTCTCCTTGATTATTTGTTTGAATACATGAATATTAGTACAAAACGGTACTGAATGCATATGAGCCACACAAGTCACTTGATTTGTGTGTACCCGGGTGCCCAAACAGAAATGGGTGGTTTTCTTATTCGCATGGCAGTAGAACAACGTTAAAAAATGCAGTCTAATGGTAGCCGGTGACCAACAATGGGTTCATACGCTATTTGTTCCTTCAGGATCATGGAGCCCAGACAGTCAGTCAGCAACAATGTAGAACTTCGTACGTCGGTACACCAGTTCCACTTGCCATACAACATTAGCACACAGATACAATTCTCCATTCAAATCTCATAGTGGTAGAGGTAGTAAAAGTATAAGCAATAATCGGAAACATTAGAGTTTGAAGATGTTATTCAAGGAGTGTAATCCAGTAAAATAAATTTGGAAAGAGGAAAAAAGGGACATGAAGAATTCAGAAGATTAGAATTTGGGAGAACACAAAGAGTGGATGCAACTGCGCCATTGCAAACGATTTCGAGCCATGTCATTCAGGATCTCTAACCATCGGTTGCTTTCATCTCGCGGTCCCCAACCAGGTAGCATACACCTACCAACATAGCTGTGTCCACTTGTCAGTGACTACATGAACTTGTGCCATGTTTTGATCTGGCCGCCTCGAGCTTTCTTCCAACCTACTCCTATACCACTGAACATAGCACGTCGAGACAGTCGGTGGTTGGGCATACGTAACACGTGTCCCAGCCATCTCAACTGATAAAGTTTCACTACTTCATCAATTGACTTGCCATCCTTACCTAGTACCCGTTTCCTAACAACTGCGTTACCTACTAGATAGTTCCAGGGTATGCGAGCAACGTTTCGAAGACACCTATGATCGAATACTAGTAACCTACGAATATCCTCTACTCTTACCGGCCATGTTTCACTGCCATAAAGTAGGACGGGACGAACTGCTGCGCAATAAACACGTCCTTTGGTTGATAGACGGATATCTCGCCTACGCCATAAATGACGCAAGTTGGCAAATGCTAGTCGAGCCTTCTGTATCCGTGCTGAGATTTCGTCACACACCAGACCACAAGGGCTGATGAGACTTCCAAGATAAGTGGAGCGATCGACACACCCAACTACTTCATTCCCTATCATTAGTTCGGGTGTCGATGCAACCCAATCCTGAAGCAACATTTTGCATTTCGAGGGAGAATCGTATGCCGAATACGCTTGCATTGTTGCTTTGAGTGGTCTGTTAATCCCACTGCTAATACTGGACAATCATCCTTAAAATTCCCAGGAGTAAACTTGTCAGGGCCTGCTGCTCTCCCTCGCTTCAGATTTCCTATAGTTTTATCAACTACATAAAGAGTCGGAGGACCTACATTAACTTGCCATTCAGGTTGACTGGAGATCGTGGGAAACCGAAGTGTGGCTGAAGGCCAGTTGAACTGATTCCTAAAGTGTTCTGCCCATCGATCCGATCTCCTGGATTGAAAATGAATAATATGTCCATCTTTCTCTGAGATTGTTTCGCTAACGGTCGGGTTCCTAATTCCGGTTTCCTTAACGAGTCTGAACAATTGTCTGTCATTACCTATTGCCACTACCTTTTCCATCTCTCTTGCTTTCGCTACCCACCACTGTTCGCGATCATTGCGTAGACTTCTTGTCAGCTTGCGCTTAAGCTGACTCCGCTCTTCATTATGTTCAGAGCCAGATGGAATGAGTTCTCGAGCATCTATCAGTGTGGTAGATGCTGCTGAGATCCAGTGTTGCTCGCTGACCTTATCACTGCTGTCTCCACAGCTTTTCGGGTATCATTCCATGCTGCCTCAGGGTGGGCATCACATACATGGCTGCCCAACTGTTTTCCTAGTTGTTCCTGAAATATACTCTTAGCTTGGTTATCATTAAGTAGGACCCTAAGAGGTTTCCTTGCAGCGTCTTTCCTACGTCCAGTAAGACGCAAGCAAATACGCGCTCGCACTAGAGCATGATCTGAATCTAAGCATGTGCTCCAGAATGAGCGACAGTCTTCTATCGAGCCCCTCCATCGGTGGCTGATAGCGATGTGATCTATTTGGGTCCAACGTTAGGACGAATTAGGGGGTCGCCATGTCAAAAGATGTTCTTCCTTATGCTTAAAGTTAGTATTTGCAAGGAACAGGCGGTTATCTGAGCACAGCTGCAACAAACGGTCACCATTATCTGTTCTTTGAGCCATGACACCATAAGATCCACCTAGGTGTCTTTCCCTACCGCTTAGTTTACCTACTTGAGCATTAAAGTCACCAGCCAATATTACTACATCAGAGCGCTTAGCTTTCCGGAGAAGGTCGGAGAACTTTCTGTAAAACTCATCTTTTACATGATCTGCGCTGCAGTCAGTGGGAGAACAGGCAGAGATGACGAAGAGTGTCCCTATCTTCCGGATCCTTACTGTTCCGTTCAGTCGGACAGCGCACAAACGACTGTCTACTGGGACCCACTCTAAGAGAGCTAGTTCTGCCCTAGGATTCAATGATATGCCTACGCCGGCGAGGCCGCGGGAAGCAGAATCAGGACTTCCAGATACACGAAGTGTGAATCGAATCGGTTCTTTATTTTGGCATGGTGAGGTCAGATGAATGACGCTACTGGGATCCTGTATGCGCGTTTCGGAGACGCAGCACACATCGATGGCGCGAGATTCTAAAGCCCTAGCTAAGGAAGCTTGTTGTCCTATTTGTCACAGTGTTTGGACGTACAGTGCTTCCAGATTTTAAATGGTGGTCTAACATTGATTCATTTATGATATTAATCTACGCTCAACAATCTCCATAACCTTTTACTGATGATTTCAAATTAGCATAAAACATTCTAAAATTATGTAACACATATATTTCTTTCAACAAACGATAGAAATATATTGACCGGAATCGAATTCAATTAATAACCACACTCGTCACCATCATGATCAGGTTGTTTCTCTTCTTTTAATTTAATCAAATCATCAATTCGTAGAATAGTGATAGCGGCTTCAGTAGCAAATTTTAAACTTTTAATTTTAGAAACAAGTGGTTCAAAAACACCTAATTCTTTGCAGTCAGCCACATATTGACTATTTAAGTCCAATCCCCACCTGAAGAGATTAAAAATAAAGGGATAGAAATGTTAGTCTAAATATATGCACAATTAACTTGGAAATAAGAGACAGAATTTTTGTATGAATATAAAATTCATATCAACAAGTCTTTCTTAGATACGTTTCTTTATGGTAAGTAAATAAAATCTAACTTTATGCTTCTATAGTAACTTATGAAACACTGCCAAACATACACAATTAAACTGATCACAAACAAACTAGAAAAAAATTTACAAATATGCAGTTGTGGAAATGGTTTAATTTCATTGGACCAATCAATGTTGGTGGTCTTATATTGATGTATTCATGATTCCAATGAAATTAGGAAAACTTTAATACCATTTATCCTTATGGACCGACTGTAAATGGAACAGTGACTCTCAGCCACTAAGTACTCGTTTCGGAAGCCGCTTCACCTACTTACATTTAGGCAACTAAGCAGTATCATTAGCCTTCACCAATAGTGTGTTGCTTATACACAAGTATCTGGTGAATTAACAAGTTTGATTTAATTGGCCGAATTTGAATTTGTCATATAATTGGTTTAATCAATTTAAATCTGGGTAGACAGATTGTTTCTGATTATGAAGTCGTTCACAGATCACATCGAAATAACTATCATGAAGGGGTAATACGAAGTTCAAAGCAGCACGTCAATTTTTTCAAAGACCTAATCCTGTGCATCCTTGTACATTATTATACGTATTAAATTGTCACATCTGTGTCGACAGCAATCCCACTATTTCCTTTTTAATTTTTAAATCAATCAAATCATACGATCTTTCTATATATGGAAACATAATTGATGAACTTTACCATACCAATTATTCAGATATCAATTTACATCTTGCAATAGCATGATTAAGTTGCACATATACCTGATGGAAAGTAGGTACATCAAGCTGAACAATCCCATGTTGGACGAAACGTGCGTCCCGGATTCATGTTCTGTTGGTCTAAAAATCCAGTATTTTCCGGGAGTCATATTGTTGTAGATCATGACAGTGTGAACCAAACCACTAACTGATGGCAAGACAATCAATCACAACGTAGAACCTCGTACGTATGTACATCAGTTCAAGTTGACATACGCCATTATCACACAGAGATGAAATTATCAGACCAAACCCCACAATAATAGAGGTAGTTACAATATCAATGGTAGTAGAAAAGATTAAGCGTCGAAGATTGTGATTCGAGAAGAAAATATGAATTAATGGAATAAGAACACAAACAAAACCATGAGGAAATTAGAAGCTCTGAATTTGGGGTAAGACAGGGAATGGACGGACCTGCACCATTGCAAACGATCTTGAGCCACATCACTCAGTCTCTAATCATTAGTTATGATAAACACGCGGACAGTAACCAAGTAATCTACACCTGTAAACATGACTCAGTCCAAATGTCAATGACTTGAACTGATGCCACGTTTTGTATGACTGCCACTACATTTCTTCAACCAACTTCTACACCAAACAACATCGTCCGTCTAGATAGGCGGTGGTTTGGTACACGTAACACACATACAAACCTCAGTTGGTGAAGATTTACTACCTCACCAATCGACTTGCCACGTTTACCTAGTACCCTACCCCTAAACTATGCATTGCTCATTCCGTGTTCCCAAAATGCACGAGCAATAACTTCTAGACACCCATGATCGAATACCAGTAACCTGCGAATATCCTCTATTCTTAATGATCTTGTTTCACACCCACAAAATAGGACGGAGCGAACAGTTGAGCAGTAAACTCGCTTTTTGTTTGGAAGACGGATATCTTGCCTACGCCACAAGTGATACAAGCTTGAGAAAGCCAATTGAGTCCTCGGAATCCGTGTTGAGATTTCGAGAGGCCAGACCATCAAGACTGATGAGACTCTCAAGGTAAGTGAAACGATCGATGCATTTAACTACTTCACTTCCTATCAATAAATCAGGCGTTGACGCAAGCTAATCGTGATCTATCATTTTACGTTTGAAGGGAGAGAACCACATTCCAAATATGCGAGTATTGTTAATTATGGTGGTCAGATGACTGAATATTTTCAGTATTTTCACCAAACAGAACCACATCATCTGTATGTTTTAAGTCAACAATTTAATCTCCTGGTAGAAGATAAACCGCTGTATAGTCAGATGATGAAAGTTTTATCTCCAAAGTATGTTAGTGAGAACGTTCAATGGAAATGGAGAAAAAAGACAACCTTGACGAACACCATTTGAAGTAACCGATTTCGACGAGTTAGCCGTAAGTGTTTGATTAGAGAGCCTGTAAAAAACTAATGTTCTTCTTTGGTACGCCTCATGATGACAGATAATTTTACATAGCCTAACGATCAACGGAGTCAAACGCCATTTTAATGTCAAGGAATGTGTTAGGTCCCGATAAGCATAATGAATGGTAACTTTGGGATCCAATACTGAACATATATTTTTATCGTATAATTATTAAATAACTAAACTATTCATATTCATATTCTTCTTATCATAAGCTTTATTTTGATTTATGAGCCATTTTTATACGCTTTACCATTCTTGAAATATGCCTTGCCCATTAATTACTACCTCCTACCTTCACAGCCACTTTTGGCCAAATCTTGTACAAATGTTGTTTTCTATTTTATGGTACGTTGTGGTCTGTTTGATTGGTATATAAACTCAGTATGTTTGAAATATAATGATTCATATCGTAGAGACTGAGATTGGTGTTCTGGACCTAACTGTCTGGGCTAGGCGGAAAGCAGGACCAATCAGGACTCTAGACTGGTCATACAGGTTTACGCGTCATTGATCCGATCGATATATCACTGCTCTCTAATTGGCAGTATCGTTAAGTTATACATTAACAGGGCACACAGGCCACAGGTTATAACAGAATGCAACTATAGTCGGGTGTCGAAAGGTTTGTTTATGCTCCAGAACTTGGTCAATGTTGAATATTCTATCTGTACATCCAATTCCAGGTATGAAAATAGTCTGATTTTCCCTCGTTGCTCGTCACAAGCTCTAGCTAAACGTCGAAATAAAATTGAGGCTACTATTTTAGATAACATATTATTCAAACTGATTCATCTTTGGTTGTGACAAGAGGATTTTTGTCCTTTATTATAAACTGGGACGATCAACGATCGAGGCCAATCAGATAGGATCACGTCGCTTCCAGATTTTAGTGAAGATCTCAGTTAATCTAAATGCTAAAACCCGACCACAATCCTTAAAAATCTCAGTCAGACAGCTACAATGTAGGAACAGGCATATATGCATCAGTTCAAGTTGCCACACTTCATTAGCACAACAAGATGAACACCATGTTCAAAGTAGTCACTTCAATGGTAGTATGAGGATATAATACAGGAAGAGAAAATCAGTTCGTAGAAAGAAAGGTATAAAGCAATTTTAATCTCACGGTTTGAGAGGAGACAAAGAGTGTATACACCTATGGCATTGTGATTCATTCTGAACCATGTCATCTCAGGGATAAGTCTATCAGGTCCGGCTGCTCCCCTTCGTTTTAGATTACTCATTGCATTTTCAACCTAAGAGTTGGAGGACTTACATCAATTTCTCATTCAGGTCACTTGGGTAACTGAATTGTGGTTGAAGGCCAGATGAAAAGTTCCCTAAGGTGTTTTGCCCAATGATCCAATCTCCTGAATTGAGTGAATAACAGTTCCATCTTTTTTCCGAAATAGTATTAATTACAGACGTATTTTGTTGATAAAACAACTTAACTTAATAATGAAATAATGCTGATGTTATTCTGCAGCTGTCAAAAATACACATTATGAAAATAATCAGTAATATAGACACAATAGAAATGCTTTACATAGAGGCTGGTTTGAATTTGACCGATATGATTATAGCTAGTCTATTTGTATAAAAATATCTATACAAGCGAGTAGATAAGCAAAAGAACGGAAATAAAAAGAATACTGTTGGTTGTGTTTTCTGAGTTCATGTGAAGCTTACGTTGTTGTTCTAGACATCATCAATGCTTATTTCATGTAGAAATGAGCTGTCCACTAACTCCACAAACCCTGTGGACGTTATTTGACTTACCTTTCGATTACTTTGTCTGCTAACGGTTGAAAGGATGACTTATTTAAATAAATAACCTTAATATCTATTTACTATGTACTGGTCTGTTGAATGGTTTATAAGACTCATTCGACTCCATCCTATGTTTAGCCACTAAAATCCGTAGAAGTATCGACACCTTTGAAAAACGTCTTTGAGAACACTTGAACTATCAACTTACCACTTGTAATGAGCTTGGTCAGGTTTACTTTGACTTGAATTGTGACAAGATCGTAGACGTGCAACTAGTTCAGTTGAATCGACACCAGCATTCACAGCCAACTGTTTCGGAATAGAAAGCATAGCTCGAGCGAATTCAGCAATAGCTAGCTGTTCACGTGAACTTAAGGTTAAAGCATAATTTTCCAGATAGATTGAGACCGCTGTTTCACAAGCCCCAGCACCAGGTACAATGCGTTTGCTTTCCAGAACTCGTTTGACCACCTGACAAAATTAAAATTAATGCGTCACAAAATGGAACATTTTAGTCAACAAGTCAAAAATAACGATACTTCACTCATAATGTATAGATATAATAGATCTAATATAATTTGCCGAAGTTCCGAGCTAGAGGTGTTCAAGCAAATCACTGCATTATTCCATGAAGTCGCTCACTGTTTGTCTGTGTCATGTTGGTAGGTACAGACAACCTGGCTGGGCTACTCATAAACGTGATTAGTGGTTTGAGACGTATAATATGGCTTAGAATTGGTCACAGTGGTGCAGATGCATTTTCTACTTCTTCGTTCCTATACATCTTGAACTCCTTTATGCATGAAATCTTATTCATTATTAATTGCTTAGTTTTCCTGACCATCATTGGTACTAAGACTGTTTCATCAACTCTTTTACTATTCGGCTTGTTATGTTGATGTTATTAATATTATTATTTAAACACATAAACATTAGTATAAGGGGGCATCAAATATATATGAGCCCAAACCGAAGCAAGTGGTTTTTTTAAGGATGTCACTCTCCAAGTCACTAACTTACAAACCTAATCCACAAGGTATTGGAGTAATATTAGATGTACTTTTGTGGTAGCCGGTGGCCAACAATAGGTTTATACGCCATTTTCCCTCAGGATTCTATAGCCCATTTGCATCACTGGTTAAGAATCTGGGTTGTCTTACTCCCCTAGGTAGATCCTCCATATCCACTAACCCAGTTAAAGCGTCGGACATTCGCTTTTCGTCCTCTCAATTTCGTAAACACCCCCGCCGCGAGAAAGCAGTGATTAGGACTTCCCTGGCAGTGGTTGTATGCACATCGCCATGTGAGAGCATTTCGAGAGGGGAAGTAGACTTTCCTCACCCTCGGCCGTACCAGGCCATTTGGGGTAGTTAGTCCCAAACCTACAGTGGTGTATGTTTTTTGTAACCTGTTATTATTCTAGCATGATTGTTAAAAACAATGATTGCCCCTAGCTTTCGCATACGTCACGTTCTACCATCTTACTGAGAAGTAAAAATCAGTTGGACAGTGTATTAAGGTAACAAATAACATACAGATAATAAGTCAAAGGACACAGATGAATATTCACAAAATATTAAACAACCATGATGACTAAAAAGTATCTAACGCTTAGCTTGATGACCAGGTGATACGGCAGTAAAAAAAACTTACACCTTCCTCAGTATGTCTTATCGATCATATTAGGACTACTAGATTGGAAAAAATTGAAGGTAGTTTGAACCATGCAGATGCCTAAAAACTTGTCTGGTTGGATTATATCAAATAAGTCTTAAATATTGTGGAATACATTGGATGATACGGTTGAAAATCATTAATGGTTATGAAGATTAATGCATACAACTCACAATGTACAAGTATCATTATGTGAACAATGAACTATTAAGATTAGAAAAAATTAGGAATCTGTATTTAAATATATAACTTAACAAATGAATTGTTCCTTTACCTATAAAACAGAAAAATATCAGAATAATAATAAAATAATATAGATTGACACTAACCAGAAGTGCGTCATGTAGAGATCGTTCCATTTCATCGACATAAAAGTCATTTGCACCTCGTAAAATGATACTTGCCGATGGATGAACTTTAGGACCTCTCAGTATAATTAATTCGTCATCACATATGCGTTCTTGAGATACTTCCTCTGCCTAAACCAAAAATAAAGTTTTTTGAATTAACTAAACTGAAATAAACTAATGAATTACATTTCCTAACTTTGTTGGATCGAAAACTTCATCACCTTCCATATCTGCTAAGCTAACAATAAGCTGACCTCCAGTTGCTTTTGCCATATTTTTCAGATCAACTTTTTTGCATCGACGTACAGCCATAGCATTAACTTCAACAAAATACTTCATGCATAAATCGTCGATTCCACCAGTTGTAAGAATGACATTAGCACCAGCATTAAGAATCTTTTGTATACGTTCTTTTGTGATATCAGCTTCGCGTTGACGGATAGCTTCCAGTTGGGCAGGATCCTTAACCACAACCTGTTACAATAAATAATTAGGGAAAAATAATGACAAAATAAAAGTAGATATTCTGTTCACAAATTAGTTTGATAATACAAAAAACTAATCTTGCTAACCAGATTTTTGTCGAGTTGTGTGATAAGCTACTCAAAAGATTTTAAAAAGTGAAGTCTTAACTTTCTAAAACAGTTTAACAAAAATGACCACTTTGATAAATTTAGTGAACCAGACAGTTTGCGAAAGCTATCATAGAAGAATATCAAACGCCATGATACACGGTTATGAGACTGATTATTTAGCTTTATATTTGAATAGCACCTTGAAACCCTCACATCTGTAGTTTTCATATTTCACAAATTTCACCCTGGAGGCTCCCATATCTTACATTATTTGGCGACGCTAGTACTGGATGGATAGTTCACAGGTGACAAAATAGAATCCTAATATAAAAGAAAAATATATAGGACCAGCAGTTTAGTTTCATTATGGTACTTTGCAACTCAGTGGTTCAGTTTGCTATCATTCATGACTAAATTGAAGTCAGTAGCGACTTTGCTATTGTTCTCTACTATGTTCTTCATAAATCGAAAGGCGAGCCCTCCAGACTGACAGAATTTAGTTGTATTTATTTTTAATTGAACCTTTTTAATCTCCTACTTTATCCTAATAATCTACGACACTAAAATATTTTACATGACATTTCGTATTTATCATTTTTAATCAATTTCTTAGTATTTCGAAGAATATAATGATTTCTATATTAAACATACTTGAACTCCCAGTTTCATTTTAACTTTTTGTAAGCTGAAATCCAGAAAGGCAATTTTCGCTTTTTTTATTGTTCGAGGCATCTGTTGACTGGCAACTGTGCAATTCAGAGCATAACCATCTATCAACATGCTCTCTGACATTGATCGTCCATGGGCTTTCAGAATGTTAACTGCTTTTATGGGATAAACAGGACCTTTGGGACCTCCAGAGACTTCAACAGCCATAAGTGCATCCACAGCCATTTGTGAAAACATTTCAGCATCTCTAAAAGCAATAATATGTACAACCGAAGTGAATAACTTACAAATTGATAAGTTTGCTTGACATAGCGGTTCGTGCCACATTTACTAACCCAGCCTTACCCAATTTATTTACATCATACGCCATGTGTTCTTGTATATACTTACAAGCTTCTCGACAGGCCAACCGATAACCATTGATTACTATGGTAGGATGAACAAAACGAGAAATCAGTTCGTCTGCATTCTTGAGCAGTGCAGCAGCCAGAATTACAACAGATGTTGTCCCATCTCCAACCTCTTCATCTTGTAATTGCGCGAGCTGAACAAGAATTTTTGCTGCAGGATGCTCAACGTCAAGTAACTTCAAAATAGTAGCCCCATCGTTAGTGATTGTCACGTCTCCAACGTCATCTACCAGCATTTTATCAAGACCGACAGGACCTAGGCTGGTCTTAACGATGTTAGCAATTGAGCAAGCAGCGAGAACTGTAATCAGAACGGAAATTGATTTAAAAACGAGCAAATTTAAGCAGAACATTATATCAACTACATATGGTTAAAGATGATTTCTATTGCTACCTGACCCTTCTGCATATGAGTGTAGGGAGGTAAGTAATAGGTTCATTGTAATTTACGTTAATGAGCTACCCCAAGTGATGATCTAACCTGCTACAGAAGCAAGAGCTATCCTGAACCCGACTGGATTTAAATAATCAGAGAACTAGTAAACTCTTGAAGTTCAAACCTCGTAGCAGTTATCTTAGAAACTGTGAAACCATTAAATAACTGTATGATTGTTTAGTCGTTTAAATAGCTTCATAGGGAAAAGCACACTACTAGGATATGGTGAATAACAATAAACAAACAATATGAATGAGGAACACAAGCAAAAAGCTGCCATTATGTTTTAAGAGATGTGGATACATCTAGATTAGTTGAGATAACTGTCCATGAATTACGGTCAGAAACAAAGTAAAAACTTATCACACACCAGTGAGGTTACTGACTAGTTACTGAATAACGACTATTGATTTTATGGCTAAAACCAGTAGTTAACACGTTTATAGAATGTTGACGACTCTGAAAACATTCTGAGATGAATTGGTTTAAATATATAACAAGTTGAAGTGGCTCGCAACTAAAAACTGACGAAACACTTTTTAGCTTTATTGATTGAGCTCATTTTGCCTCAACCATATGCCGCTATACCAATCTTCCAGTTATTATAGGAAACGCCAGATATTTCAGAAGTAATACTGACCAAATAAACCTAATCTTTTTATATATCTACTTCATTTAAAAATGTCTTATTGCTGTTACGTAACATAATGAATGTTTTGAACGGTCAGATTAACTTTTAGCACATAACATTCATCATATGGTTAGCAATTAAGAATGTCAAAAATGTTTCCATGTATATCACAGTCCTATCAAGCACTACAGCATAAAGGTTTATCATCAGATTTTGATGCATGTATGGATGCTCGTTCATACCAAATTTGACAGGTTTATTCTCATATCATGGAGTCAAATCCTAAAACACTCCACAGTATTCGAAAAAAAATGGCCAGGTTAGCTTTCCCAGTTAATATAACGATTCAATATGGTATGACCAATAATTAAATCGTACTACCTAATATTTCTACTTTAGTTAATACCTATCTTAGCCAGTAAATTGTGGTCTTCGAAAGTAGAAGACAAGCATGGGTTGAAGGTTTATTGATCAAATGTCTTTAATGCACTGCTTACATCTCGCACGGTGAATGAGTGAACAACGTTGAGGTAAGATGCACAGTATAAAATGAAGGTGTCGAATACATTGATGAGGTTGCGTATACCCATCGATTGAGGTGATGTTACGCATGCCAAATTACCGCCTACCTCGACAGATGATGTTTACTAGCACAGTAGTCTGAAAGCTAGAAGCGGTCGAATGAAACCTAGCGGCAGCTCATGATGTTAAAGACATGATCTGAGTCATGCAAGTGGACACAGGCTACCTGATTGAGTCCGAAAAATGACCGCGATCCGTGACCGGAGACGTCTGATGATAACTCAAAATCGTTAATAATGACAAAGATGCACTTACTCTGTATATTTTTTGCGATGTGAAATGTCAGGATTTCTCCACTACCTTTTTAAATCATACTCTTGATTTTGAATCCTTCCTACTGTCATTGATACTACATTACTTAGGTTTCTGTTGATGTTAATCTTATTAATGTAATCCCACGGTTTGGGAACTCAAGTCAACGCACACCTGTTCCATACTCAGACGTTAACTGATCGGATCTAAACCTCTGAGGGTCATTTGAACGGGTTTAATGTTTACTAATCTTTGCAAATGTGACCAGAAACGAGGAGTCGACATCAACGTAGTATGATTTGGAGATAATCGAACTAAGCATTTAAACTTTTATTTTTCATTACTTTGATTATAACAAAACTTCAAACACAAGCAACTACTTAGATTACAATCATTAAATTAGATATTCAGAGTTTTGGAAATAATAAACACAATGCTCTATGTTGTGTTTAGGAAAACATACTTCGTTTATGATTTACTTGGCATAAAAACGTTTTCAGAGTATTTTAATTTGCACACATTAGGACTTTGTACATACCAACAGACAAGACTTAACTTCACTCCAGTTTGAAAGATTATTATCTAGTAATATTATACTACGTGGTTTTTGTGAAACAAAAATTTCCTAGAAAAGTAACTGATTCTTCTCTGAATCTGATAATCTCACACGATTCCAAAACGCACGTAACAAAAAAGTAGTTCTGTAGGTATTAGACGAAACCCAAATTACTAAAATGAAAGGATCCCAATCATTTTAATAAACGGAGATATAATCTGCTAGTTCAGCTTGTTTGAGGCATTGATCAACTTATCATGTATCTGCCGTGGTACGGCAGAGTGTGGAGTCCCTTCTCCCTCGCCAAATGCTCTCACATGGCCACACGTATATAGCCTCTACCAGAGAAGTCCTACTCACTGCCTTCTCGTGGTGGGTGTTTTTTTACGAAATTGAGAGGACGAAAGCGAATGTCCGGCGCTTTAACCGGGTTGGTGGACATGGAGAGTCCACCTAGGGGAGTTGGAAAACCCTCATTCAAAACCAATGGTGCACATTGGAACAAATAGCGCATGAACTAATCGTTGGTCACTGGCGACCACGAGACTGCATCTCCTGATGTTGCCCCACTGCCTTGTGGATCAGATCTTTAGATCAAAAGCTCCGGGTGTGGCTTCCTAAGAAAACCACCTGGCTCGATTTAGGCACCCAGGCAATATCACAGTCGTCACACATATCAAATGAGACTTGTGTGGCGCATATGTATTTAGTGCCTCTTTGTACCAATATGTGTTAAAATAAATAAATGAAATAGGTCAACCAAATTAGAAGGAACTGATGAATACTTTCGTCTAGAAATCAAATTCAAGGCATAGAATAGAAATCTGGTTGGATCACTTGGTCTGCCAAGGTATTAATGCGAATCGTTCATCTAACGAGAAAAACTTGTGTGCAAACATTCTCCTTATTTTAAAATCACAAACATATTGCATGCTCCACTTGCAACTCATCGCATCGACACGATGAAACGTAGAAAAAATACTTCTATTTCAAGTTCCATATCTCACATAACACTACTAGGCATTGTTTTAAGAAAACCGTACTTCCTGCGGATAACGTGAACTGTCATAAGAGCACTTTAAGTCTATGACTTATTCACTCCATATGACTCATTACCCAAGTCAAAGTTTTGGTCACAGCTCAATTACCATTACCCGCGAGCTAATAAAGGGAATGAAGCTAACCATGAGACAAAATATTGAACGGCATTATCATACAAACGTTTTGACCAAGCTTTATGTTTGGAACACACGCCTTTACTAGCAGCAATGACGAACCTAGAGTTTTGGTTATCACACGAGTATTTATTTAAATACCTAAAAAGAGCTAACCACTTCCTTCAAAACATAGGTAACTAATTACCGGGGATTTTCATTCCTTTGAATGTTTTTATTACCACCATATACAAAACAGTATCCGTGCAAAATATTGTCGCAGAACTTGATAAAAAAATAAACCTTTTAATGCCAGACAAACATAAGGAAACTAACCATTTTGTTTGCGAACAGATTCGCCGCTCGTCCTTTCTCCACCGAGGGTAAGCATGCTAGCAGCGTTAACCGACATGACTGCAGAGTTACTTCAAGTGCCGCCAAAACTTTAGAGTCAAGGTGAGTGAACATAAATATCAGAAGAAGCAGTCAGATAAACAAATAAAGACATCCATTACGGTGATCGCCTCTTTTCATATTCCACGGAAATACCTTAAACGAAATTATAGTTTTGAGTGGGTCCTATTTACCGAATTACTTTTTTTCACATCACCTCGTATATCGCCAAGTTCACTAACTTATGGTAGCGTGTAGTCGTAAATAAATCCCCAAAATAAATAGCTCTGTAAGTTTTCGACATTGGATGCTGACCGCATTAGTTTTAATGGACTCACCTAGCTGAAGGCGCTCGGTCATGCCGCAGTGCTCAACATCCCCTGCACTCGCTGGCCAGATTAGACCAGTCGATCCACGATATATTGATTACCTATCAAATATGTCTTCCAACCTCCCTGCTTCTGTCTTTTGATTTCACTTGGTGGGTACGATTCATAATAGGTGTTACTGGCTAAAGCGTTGTCGGACTCCAAATACCTGTGGCATCTTCAAGTGCATGAAATTGAGAAAACAATCAGTCCAATCGAAACAACTTTACAAGTCCTAAAATTTTATGTTAACTTTATTAGCTTGATTACAAGCTCCTAGCTTGAAGAGGCCTGTGTATGATCTATACCAGATCACGTTTTGATATTCCATGTAGTCTGTGGCAGTTGGTCAGCTTGTATTCCGTAAAATACGGTAGATTGATCTCGAATTCAAAAATATTTTGGCACAGTACAATCTCTTCTGTTTTGATCGTCTTTGGGGTCCTTACATTAGGGGTGGTTACAAATTAAAGTGTTCTCAAGCTCTGTATATCCGTGATATTTTCAAAGTTATCTGTTTTTAACGACATATCACTACACGGACTTATAAAACATTACTACCATATGAAATATATGCTAAAAATCCACCGGTTACATGTGAGTGATGAACCCTTCTGTTGGCTGAGCTTACATAGAAACATGGATCTCAGGGGATGTGAACCTTCATAAGCTGTTGGAATCCGAATTCTTTCATTTAAACTCGATATTTCAATGGTTGAACCCGTGAGTCGATGTAGGCTAGACACCCAGTGAAGACCTGGAAGCGCTGGACAGCCGTTTCGTCCACGTATAGGACTTCTCAGCAGTGCGCAACCAAGATCTTTCATGAGGAACATGTTGGGGTTTCGGGCATGTAAGAAGTACGGCGGTCTATACCTGTCCTTTGTCTATCATTCACTCATAGAGGCGATCTTAACAGAATTGGGCAACTGCCAGCAAACGAAGTAAATAACTACGTGATCGTTGTGTGCATTTCCAACCGTGGTATGGTCTATAAAGCTAATAATCAAACTGGACCGTTGTACAGAAAGCTTGCAAGGAAACAACCATTTTTTAAACTCCCTATGGGATATAAAAAATCGACTCATAAGAACTAGTTGAAAAGATAAACAACCGCTTTGTGAAGCAGTATAACCAAGTTACTACACCGTCCATACCTTGGGCAGTTTGAAAAAAGAAAAAAAGTCAATTCAAGGTCAGCTGTGAACTGCAATGCTTACAGACACGATGACGCTGAAATTTAGTTCAGCTTTAGTAAATGTGATGCACTGGAGCACCGCAGTACTGCGCGTAGTAAGTATTTACTTATATCAGTAATATGCTGGAAGAGCTGAGAACTGAAGACATTTGACTGTTTATAAACTGCTGTGTTGAGTTTTAATAATTTCACTATTTTTAGATGCTTATGTTCCACACAACTTCTGAACTTGTTTGTTTATATCTTTATCCTGAGACATTTTGTGTCCCCTTCGTGATTGATTTGGTATTTACGAGTTTGTTTTGTAAGTATTATAGTTAGTATTAGAACGATATTTAGGTCGATTGTTTCTAAATTGCGAATAAACGTCGATGCGTGATTTGGAGTTTGGACCTATTGTTAACTTTAGGTTCGTAAGTTACAAGAAGATCAGCATGCCGTGTATAAACAACGGAGGAGAGCCAAACATGGTGAATGTAAAACTTTTCAGTGTTTATACGTTCAGATTCAAAGGTCAAGTGGTCAGTAATAAATACCACCACAAACCGCTACAACCATCGTCGAAAACGTACAAGTATTTATAAATAATTTTCTACGTTAGGTACTCAACGTCCATCGGCCGGACATCATCAGCGACATCCTACTATGGGAGAGGACAAACCGGCTTCTAGATGAGGCGGAAACTAGGAAAACAATTGGAAGCAGATATGAAAAGGTTGAATAGCAACTGGAAACGACTACAAAGGATTACCCAGGACAGAGTTCCACGGGTAATGCTGGTGGACGGCCTTTGCTCTACCACGAGGGCCGGCAGATGTAATGTAGTACTTAAATAAGATCCGTTAGTAACACTGACTCTGGATTCGATAAATGTAGGAGTGTCAACAGGTCGTTTCACTCCTATGAGCATGACTAGCAATTAAAACTTCATCCATACATTCATCTTCATCGAATTTAAGGTGTATAATAGTTTACTTATGTGTTTGAAACCATAACTTTGCTTATTTATTCTGGTTAGTTTAATATTCTCTTCAGTATGAAGCTACATGGTTCTATTTCGTTTTACGTCTAGATGCCTACTACCAGTGGTCTTGCATCTATGGAGCCTGTTATCCATCAACTGATTAGGACAACACAAAATGACATCAGCACCAAGTTAGTGTGAGTTTCTTCCTGTTTATTCTTTATTAGCTTTTTACTCTTCTGTACGCAATGTTGACTAGCAATTAATATTATTTCTCCACTCGTTACCTTATCTACGACTCATAAACTTCTATACTTTTCCGCCTGCTTTAATAAACAACTACCCTACAATATACCCTTCTTAATGCTTATACTGTAATCGGCAAACTATGCTTTATACTGTAGTCAACAAAAGCACTGCATCGATGCCTTATCCACAGTCCATAGCTTGTAACTGCCTGATAAGCTTGTAAAATGGTACTTATAAAAATAGTGTTTTCCAACAGGATGTAAAACACAGAGGATTGTATGAGGTATGATATATATCCAAAACTAAGCTTAAATGAGCCTAACATCACAAAAGGAGGGAGGGTGGAGTTACTGACCAGCAAGTACTGATGGTGAGGGCGATGACTTCAATCCATCAGTGTTTGTGGGACAGAACATTTTGAATGTATCAGGCTCTTTATGGTTGAGAACAAGTCAATCAATCTGTTGTATAGATTGTCTGCCTACGCTCACCACTCACCACTCGGACTCACGTTTCCAATATTATGCTGGATTAGCTATTCTGTTAAGACAACCTATAACATGCTAACTCGGGCTTTTACACTAGGATTGTGTGGCTGGCATCGGATAAACAAAACAAGGAAAAAAATTTAGACAACAAAAGATGTAGTCATTAGTATTCCTAACACTTCACTCTCTATATGCACACTCCCTTCTAATAAACCGCTTTCCTTGTATCAACCTTGACTTCCTTTCCTCTATGTGAGCTTACTCCAACTTGTTAAGCAACACAACTCATTGTTCATTATTACTACATTCTCTTATATGGAGCCTCTGACTTCATTTCATTCTAACAAGAGACAATATGAATTTAATCTAATTTATTATACCTCTGTCTGTTCTACTACACAATGTAAACAACGTTTGGCGTTCATATCCAAGTGCCTTTCTGCACTTCTGTTTCTCTTTCTCTTTTTTCTTTAGAATCTTGCTCTGAGGGCACAGCTATGGAACATCTGACGTCTGGAACAAACTTGACGTACGCGTCTCCTCAAGGTCATGGTTTACAGCATGCGTTCTGCGAGTCTACTTTATAACAACCATAAACTTAATAAGTTGGGAAGCATGCTGTGCACCAACAAATGTTGTAATTTATAGTTAGTGTCCGTAAAAATGGGGCGTGTACCTGCTCGTGCGGAAATATATTATTGTTATATAAGGGTCGTCACATTCTTTGGCATGTTTCCCCGGTTCCTGGCCGCACTGGGTTGGAAGTCGCTGTTGTCTGGTCGATGGATTATTTTCTAAAGTTTCACTATTCTTGTAATTTGATTGGCGAATTCGAGGAATCTTAAGCAGTATTATTTTTAACTTTACGGGCTTTAAGAGGAAACGTGTTCGGCGCGTACAATAGTTCAAACAGATAATTCAATTCCCAACACGTAGACCTCGCTTTTCATAGACACCACGAACGTGAATCACAGTAAACAAACAGAATCGCCAAAGTGTAATCAACTCCCTCAACTTTCTTGGGTATGTTATTTTCTAGACTCTGGAATAACCTACCAGAATCTATCTGTACGATAAAATCACTCCCATTATTTGTTCGCTGCATCGATGCAAACTGCTCCTCTGAAAATGCATTGAACGGTCTGGCACCTGTATGTGTATCTCATTCCACAAGTTTTTTTATAGGATCTTTAAAAGTTTAGCCATTTTTATTAGTGCGTCCCCTAAGTAAAACCACCTACTTGTGTTAACACCGTCCTTAGCAAGTTTAACTAATTTGAATAACATCAACAGTATATCACTGTGTCACATGACACACGCATTTAGGTAGACCTGATTCATGTATTTTGGTAATTAGTGCTTTGTTGTTCCATGCTCTCTACTTTCGTTTTAATTTCTCTAGTTGAAGATAATTATCATTAATTCAATCTGGCACACGAAATGACCTTAATTACTCTGTTCATAAATCAACGGGCTGTCCATTTAAGAAATATTAAAAATTATCGGCTGATGCGTTGAATTACTGTAATACATGTACTATTTAAGCAACTACTGAACTAGTATACTTAAAACTTTCTTCTAACGCATATTTGTTCTCTACATCTAATATTACTATTTATATCAAATTGATCATGCCTGTAAACTGGCGTGAGTTCTGTAATTATTACTTTCAGAATATAAAATTATTATTATTACCCTCGAGGTATATGCCCGCTGGAAAACAAAGTAGAGGGTATCCTCGATAACTCACAACCGGCCACGGTCAATCATTGTCGACGGACTGATGAGTTTTTATT